TGGCCTCCCCCTCAGATCAGCTCTGTGAGATGGCTGCTCTTATCTTCTTTTATAGAGAAAGAAACTGAGGCCCAGAGAGGGGCACGGACTTGCCAAGGTCTCGGGGCTGTCTGCTTTTCAAGTCTGGACACTTCAGTTCCMGGATGGGGGGCTGACTGGGTATCAGAAGGCACAAGGATCCCTGGGAGGGAACTGGTTAGCGTCACAGTTTAGAAATAGACTTGTAAAGCCCTGTCAGGGCTCCTACGATGGTAAAAGGGCCTTGCCTGGAATCCTTAAGCCAGGGCTCCTGTGGCTGTGTTTCCTGTGGTCCCTCCTGAGGAACTTAGAGCTGTCAGCCTCACCGGGCGGGCAGCCCAGTCCTGAGCCTGCTCCTGCCTCAGCCCAGGCCAGAGCCTCATGCTCCCCAGTGATCCTGAGGCAAGGGCGTGGAAGCCCAGGTAGCAGAAAGGGGAGGGAGTGGCAGAAACAGGACGTCAGGGAAGCAGGAGGACCCACACACAKGCACACACAACTCCGCAGAAGGCCAGCAGCCCAAGGAGTTGCCATGCCAGGCAGACTACCATCTGCCTGGTCTGTGACCTTAAGTGATATAAGACGGGATCTTGGTGCCAAGGTCAGCGCTTGCTGGGCATTATTTCATTTAATCCCCACAACCACCCTCCACAGTTGGTAGATCTCACCCAGTTGTACAGATGAGGAAACTGAGGCCCACAGTGTTGAAGTGACTCGCCTGGGTTCAGTCAGTAAGTGGATCAGCAAAGACAGCAGCATGGCCAGTCTGCAGCCCAGTCCATACCTGTGACCACTGTGCCACTGCCCCTGAGACCAGCTCCCATCTGTCAGTGAGCACAGTCTTTTTTTTTTTTTTAATTTATTTTTTTTTTTGGTTGTTCACAACATTACAAAGCTCTTGACATATCATATTTCATACATTAGATTGAAATGGGTTATGAACTCCCAATTTTTACCCCAAATGCAGATTACAGAATCACGTCGGTTACACATCCACATTTTTACATAATGCCCTATTAGTAACTGTTGTATTCTGCTACCTTTCCTATCCCCTACTATCCCCCCTCCCCTCCCCWCCCATCTTCTCTCTCTACCCCATCTACTGTGATTCATTTCTCTCCTTGATTATTTTCCCATTCCCCTCACAACCTCTTATATGTAATTTTGTATAACAGTGAGGGTCTCCCTCCATTTCCATGCAATTTCCCTTTTCTCTCCCTTTCCCTCCCATCTCATGTCTCTGTTTAAWGTTAATCTTTTYTTCCTGCTCTTCCTCCCTRCTCTGTTCATAGTTGCTCTCATTATATCAAAGAAGACATTTGGTATTTGTTTTTAAGGGATTGACTAGCTTCACTAAGCATAATCTGCTCTAGTGCCATCCATTTCCCTGCAAATTCCATGATTTTGTCATTTTTTAGAGTGAGCACAGTCTTACTTGCCCAGAGGGCTGTGGAGAGAAGACATCACATCCTGACTACACCAGGCCCAGCAGAGCTGGACACACAGCAGGTGTTGACCCAGTGGTCACTCCCATCCTCCTCTTCATGCCTCTGTCCCCATCTGTGCAATTGTTGAATAGGGTGGACTACAGGGACCTTAGCAGGCAGCCACACATGCCTTCAGGCCCAGGCAGGTCTGGACACTTTCCTGATGGGCTTTCCTGGGGTCCCTGCAGCAGCCTCCTCCTAGGACCTGTCCTGATCAAGCAGTTCTCCCTCTCCACCTGTGCTACCTCTGGGTCTACCTGGAGGGATGGGCCACTCCCATCAGGACATCCTGGACAGTTGCTTGTTCTGTCGGGGCCACAGCTCAGCTCTGTGACTTTCAGGGGGATGGAGCTGTCAAGGCTGGGCCACCTCACACAGGTGCATCTGGGGCATCAGCACGTATGCACGTGTATTGGGACACCTTGCCAAATACTGGGTGAGGAGGTGTCCTCATGAGCATGGACCCCTGTGCCAGCAGCCCCTGCCCTCACCCCCGGGAATCACATTGCTAACTTCCCCTTTGCCCCATGATGGAATCCAGCCCTACCCTCAGGGAGCTCAGCCTGGAGGTACAACAGGAAGAAGGGGGCGAGCAAATCCTTCTATCCACCAGCTCAGGGGTGTTGTGGGGACAGTGTGGGGGGCAGGTAGGAGACTTCTCCTTGGAAGTGACACTTAAGCACCAGGCTCAGTAAGTGAAGGAAGGAAAGGCCTCCAGGCCTAGGGAGCTGCTGGAGCCAAGGCCTGCAGAATGGGGATCCCTGACAGGTTCAGAGGCAGTCACGACCCTGTGGCCGACAMGGAGTGGGGGAGTGTGTGTGTGTAGATGGGAGAGGCAGCTGGGGCCATGGTGGAGGACGTGAACACCAAGCTGAGAATCCTGTATTTTTTGAAAAATGTATGAATTCATGTGTCAGAGAGTTGGAAGGGAAGGCATCCCAGGAGGGGCCCAGTCTGAATAAAGGCAGGGGGTGGAAGTGAGTGTGCAGAGATGGAGGGTTGGCCCAGACAGGGGTGTCCAGACCCCTCTGGGAAGATGATATACTGATCTCCAGAGTCTRGTGGACTCTGCTGAAGTCAAGAAAAATCACGCAGCTCAGAGGAGTTATTGCCTTCTGCTGTCCAGGTCCCCTCCTGCACAGGCCAGGGAGGAACAAAGGGATGAGCCGGCTGCCAGGAGGAAGCCCCGCTCTCCAGCCCAGCTTCTTCYTCCTCATTTGATGAACTTGGTAGAAGGCCAGAGCAGGGGGCCACTGGTGGCCCATCCTGCCCACCMGGGATTTTCTTCAGGTTTCAATGCACGGGGCAGGCATAACACCTGGAAGGGGAGCCCCTTCTAAACCCAGCTGTGAGCGGCTTGCCCCAATAGAGTGAGGCCTGTACTTGTAACCGGGCCTTCAAAGGCTCATTGTCTCTGGTCATTTGTCCTCATGTCTGTCCAGGGGGTTCTCTCTTAGCCTATGCTCTATGCACTGCCTCTCCCCTGCGTTGGGCCTTGGTGGCTTTCATCTATAATTGCTGTCACTTATCTGTCTCTTTTTCCATTCACACCTGTCACCAGCAGCCAAAGGTGGCTTCCTAGAACACACAGCTGAACCTGTCCACAGTGTGCTTCCCATGCGGGCGCCCTCCTCCTCAGCATCTTGGTTCCCCAGCGCAGGCTAGGGCCAGTTTACCTAAATGAACAGCCCTTCCCCCAATGACTGGGTATTCAGAATTGCTCTGGGTTGGGGGTGCTCGCCCCCCAGGGCCAAGGAGATAAGCCAGGTAGCCACAGGGTCTGACTTCTGCCTCAGTCCTTTCCTGGCACCACCTGCTAACTTGATACCTTTAAAGTTGGTGAGAGAGAGAAAAAAAAATGGGTGCCCAGTGCAGAGAAGAGGGAAGTCAGGGTTCCAAATGTGGATGCACACTCTGGACACTATCATCCTCCTCTTCTCCCTGCAGACGAGCCCCAGAGAGAGGGAGTGGAAGAGCAGGCCTGCGGGAACTCTAGCCCTCCCAGGACAGCTCCCCACTTCACCCCAGRCCCCTGGTGCAGAGGGCAGGAGTCACATATGTCCTTATCTGGATCAGGTCTTCACAGTTGGAAGGTCAACCCTGGACCTGAAGCATGAAGCCAGTGGCTTGGCAGAGGGAGCCTGCCTGTGGCCCCTTCCTCCTCTAGGGTCACCTCCCTACCTGCCCCTGGGAAGACACCGGGAATTACAGAGCCACCTAGACTTTGGCATCAGACTTGGCCTGTGTCCTGTCTTTGCCCTGTCACAGCCCTGTGACTTGGGCAGGTCCCTTTACTAAGGTCTCTGAAATGGGGACATTGGTGCCACATACTGCACATACCACACCTGGATGCAARAGGTGCCAGCCACTGCTGACTCCCACCCCATCCACCTTCATGGCCAGAGCATCAGCCCAGCTGGAACAGACCCAGGCAGCAGAGAGCAGCAGGAGGGGGCAGCCAGTCACACCAAAGGGTTGGGGTCTGCTGCCCGCACTGGCCAGCACTCGAGCTAGACTTCGAAGGTAGAATGGGTGTTTGTGGGATGGCCATGAGAGAAGRCATTCCTTGCAGAGTGACTTGCATGAACAGACTGGAATTTCCTGGCCTGTGCCTGGCTCCTGACATCCTAAAATGTGGGGTGGATACCAGGARAGGCAGGAGGGTGGGCAGCTGTGTGGAGAGGGGTGGAGGAGACRAAGGGAGTTAGATGTTAGGGGACCCTGACAAGAGAAGGCAGTGGGCAGGGGATGCAGAGACAGGCGCCAGGGCTGCAAGGCGGGGTGGGGGCTGGCAGAGGCCCCAAGCTGCTTTCCTCAGCCTCCACCATATGGCCCCTCTGCACACTGTATACATGCCCCATCTGGGAATGTGACACAACTGTGCTGTGCCCACTAATGCCCACTGCCAAGCCCAGGGCCTGGTATGTGGTGGGCACAGGACAGCTAAACAGACAGATGATAAATCAAAGCCACTTCAGTGTACAAATGTGCTTATTAGTTGTACATCAGTTGGCATCAGGGCTGCGCTCCAGATGGACAGGCTGCTCGACACTCAGTGGCCTAGCCCTGGGGGCTCCTGTCATCCCTGATGGTGGCCACATGGCCTCAAGTTTGGAGACAGGGAAACACAGCACAGGGGAGTCCAGGCCACTGCCCAASCCCTCCCTGGCACAGTGCCCTCAAATTGAGGCCTGGACCTCCACATTCTATGCGAAGATGTGCGCCCACCCTAGTCCTCACAGAGTTCCTGTTAAGGGCTGTGGCACAGTCAATGCCCATGGCATTGGGAAGGGTCTTCTCAGTCCAGAGCAGAAAGCACTTCCTTCCTGAGCCCCATTGGTATATTTCTAAGCCAGGATGCCTCCTCTGGGGCCCTAAGCACCTCTGTAGAGCTGAACCAGAGCTCCTGGGGGCTTGGGCAGGACAGACAGACTTGAACAGGTGCTGCTGCTGGGCAGGGTGGGGTCCCCCAGGGCTAAGAGCATGCCTCTCCTGCAGTTTGAAGGCTGCAGCAAAGCCTTCTCGCGCCTGGAGAACCTCAAGATCCACCTGAGGAGCCACACGGGTGAGAAGCCGTACCTGTGTCAGCACCCCGGCTGTCAGAAGGCATTCAGCAACTCCAGCGACCGCGCCAAGCACCAGCGCACCCACCTCGACACGGTAGGCCTGAGGGGGAAGGCCGCGGGTAGGGGGCTGCACACAGGCCACCCCCACAACGTATCTAGTGCAGAACCCCCACTTTTGTCCTTTTGCCCTGTTGACAGGTGGAGCAGGGTAATTCTCTGGCAGGGTCTGGGGTGTCCTGTGCATTATRGGATGTTTAGCATTATCCCTGTCTAGAGATTTTCTATCTCCCAATTGTGATAAAAATATCTGTGGACATTGCCAGATGTTCCTCAGGGGGAGTGTAAACTGGCAAACTCAACAGGGTCCCCCAGTTGGGATGCCCCGATTTGGCCTATGGGTACCAGCCCAGGCCCCAGCATCCTTGYATATCTGGGCCCCCATCCTCCCATCCTCTTGGGGGCCCATCTGCCACACCTGGAGGAAGCCACTTTCTGCTCTTCCCACCCCATCCTGGGGATGGGCAGAGGTGCTCCAGGGCCACCTTTTGAGCCTTGAGGACTGTAGGTGGAGCTGAAAGGGCAGCGTAAGAGTCTAGGCTTCAGTGACCTGGCCTCCAGAGGCCCGGGTCTTTCCACCTGTCTTGATGGTGCTAGACAGAGAGTAACCCGCAGTTGTATTCCAAGGTTGGTCCCAGTCCTCCCCAGAGACCTCAGCACTTAACAGACATGGGTTCTGAAACAGTCCCATGCTGACCTTGCTGTCAGGGGTCCTTAGCCCATTTGTCAAAGGAAGGAAGCAAGCTCAGGGTCAGTCCTTTGCATGGTCACACAGCTGGACAGTGGCAGAGCTGACTCAGATCCAGGCCTTGAGACAGCCTTATTGGCTGGGGGCACATGTTCTGGGAGGACCCCAGCTGCCATGCACCTCAGGAAACTGGGTTCTTCAGCCAAACTTCATAGCTGGGCCCCAGGCCTGCTTCTCTGCTCCTTCTGCAGATTTGGGGGAGCTCTGTGGCAGGCCAGACCAGCCTGTTCCATACACAGTTAAGGAAACAGAGGTTCACGAGGGCGACTAAGCTGCCAGGCTAAGTTGGTGGCCATGAAACAGCAGAGGCCAGAGCGGAAGGGATACCAACAGGCGCCTCATCCAACTTTTTATTTTATAGCTGGGAAAATGGACCCAGAAAGGGAAGAGGGGACAGGAACTCATTGGGCCAGGCCACACCCTCCACAGTGTGTGTGTGTCTTTCTCTCCCACACACACACACAGAGTTCAATCCTTGTGACAACTGAAGGTGTGGGGCCATTATCCCCCTTTTGTAAACCAAGAAACAGACTGGAAGAGATCAAGTCACTTCTCTGCCACAGCAGGCCAGGGGCAGAGCTGGGTTACACCCAGGGAAGTCCAGTGCGTTTTGCTGGAAAAAGCTGACATGGCAGCACCCTGGAGGGGTAGAGCTGAGCAGAGGGGACAGAGTAGCAATGAGCAACCCCATCCCCAACCGAAAGCTGACCCCCACCACYGTCCAGTCTTCACTATCAAAGGCTACGCTGGGGCCTGAAGTGAGAAATGATTCTAACAAATCCCCTGCTCCTTGGTTACTTCTCATCCATGGGGCCCTGGCACCCTGGCCTAGGCCCTGAGGGGTACAGTTTGTGCCTCAGGATCCCTAGTTATGTCCCCCAGAGGTCTCAAGGCAGTACCAAATCTCCGACCCCTCCCTACCTCCCAGTAACCTACCTATCCTGATTTAGCTCCTTCCTCCTTCCTTAAATTTCTTGGACCTAGCCCCAAAGCAACAGGCTTCTGACCCCACTTGGTATGCGAGCAGAGCTCCAAGAGCTAGGTCATGTCAGGGCAGAATGAGCCACTGGCTTGTCTCAGGCCTTCATCTCCCCAAGAGGTCCCCGGGAGGTGCAGCCACCAAGCCYAGCACCCCACTTGCACTCAGCTCCCTGCATAGAGACCCATGCATCTCCCCAGGTGCTGTTATCTCAGCACCCACCCTCAGCATCCCAGTTGGCCAGGCCCATGCAGGGCAGGACCTTACTTTTCAGAAGGGACCCAGCCAGTCCCTAGCTCCCCCTTAGCTTTGGGGAATATGGGTGTCCTCCACAGGCAAAAAAGTTTCTCCAGATTGGACAGAACCAGACCTGGGTTCTGGTCCCAGAGGTCTAAGGAAAGCTACCTCACCTCTCTGGGCTTATTTCCTGAAAGGTAAAATACCTGCCTCTTGAGAAGAGGTAGAGAGAGGCCTGCAGGTGGTCTGTACAGCCCTTCCTTTCCTGCTGTTACTAACCCACTAAATGTGGGCCACATTCTGCCATGCCCCAGGCATCCAGTGTGGGTCTGAGTTTTGGTCACCATAGGTCCCTGTGTGGATGTGAATAAGCTGCTGTCCTGCTCTAGACCTCAGTTTTCCCATTAGCAAAACGGATGGGATGGTAATCTCTCCTTTGCCCGCTTCACTGGACCACTCATGCCTTCAGACCGAAGGTATCCTGGTCACATGCATTCTGGCTGTGAGGTCTGGTGTATTTCGTGGGCCTCCATTTCTTCCTCCACAAAATGGGACTCAGAGGAGACCATGGATGGCCAGTGCATAGCAAAGTGCCTGCACCCAGAGAGCAGCCCAGACCAGAGGGCTTGGTGAGCTACCGTGGTCCATCACACACATGCCGAGAGGCAGCCTTGCAATTAACAGGAATACAGCGGCCCTGGCTTTGGAGCCTGTGTGGGGACTCCAGGCCTGGGTTTGGCTGCTGGCTTGGGATWGCCATAGGGTTTCCTGAGAGCTCACAGGGGAGCTGAGCCTGAGGAATGTTCTAGACACGTCAAGCCCTGGAAAAATAAACATGGAGATGGGCCCTGCTTCCAGGAGAGTGTGCCTGTTACATTGCGCTCTGTTTGACAAAGTGTGTGGATTTGTATCAGTATCCCCAAGGGACAGGGGCAGGGCAGGGCAGCGCCCATGGGGACAAGGGGAAGAGAGAGAAAGGGAAAGTGTGCGTTGGGATGGGGTCAGGGCCTGTGAGAGAGAGACCATAGGTGTTGGGGACGAGGTCAGGGCTAGGAAGTGAGGGTTGAGGGGGGCCATGCATAACCTACGGTGGGTGGTCTGAGCAGGGCTCCCCTCTCCTGCCTTCCTGTTGGCCTCGGCAAGCTTCTCACTGCTGTCTCTCTCTTTTTGCTCTCCTCCATTCATTAACCTGGCGACCTCTGCGGCAGCTCCAAGGTAGGGTCGTCTCTTTCTGCTTCCCCTCCCTGTGAGGTCCCTGGGCCGTGGCAGCTCTCCCACCGCCCCTCACTCTGGCAGGGGCAGAGTTGCCTTGAGGTTTGGGGACGTGTGGTATGTCTGTCAGGGCACAGAGGTCCCCGGGACTTGTGCTGAGAGGTAGAACGCTCTCACACTCTCTCCTGTCCTTGCAGGCCCAGGTCAGGGCGTTCCCGGGGATCAGAACCACTCAACATGTTCAAGACTGGAAGCCTCTCGAACTTCAAGCCCCAATAGCAGCCAGAATCCCCAAGCAGGGTCTTATGGAAGCCCCTGGGGAGATGTCAGCTAGAGCCATGAGTCCCCAGTCCTGGTTTTACTGGGATTTGGGATCCAGTGTCCCTCTGAACAGACCCAGCAGCCCAGGGTGCACAGCACTGCTGCCCAAAGCTTGGGCCTGTGGAGGGAGCAGGGTTCAAGGACAGATTAGAGAGAGGGGAAAGGTGGGGGGGCACGGGATAGGGTGGGGACAGGAGAAGGGGTGAAGACAGGAGAGGGACCCTGGTCTCAAAAGGGCATAAGTGCCAGGTGAGGGTCTGTGTTCTAAGCACCATGGAGCCACTGCCGGGTTTACAGCAGGCACGGCTGGCTTTGTAAGGAAGGAGGATGGGAAGCCTGGGGATGTGACAGAGCCTGGGGCAGGAGTCCTCTCTTGTCTTCCAGGTGAGCAGTGGGGGCAGGACTGGCCCACTCCCCACACACGGGGAATGGCCCTAGCTCTCGTGTGCTCTCGGAGGCCAGCACCCTTGGGCTGCCTGCAGCTGTTATCGGGAGGACCTGGGTAGCTTGGTCTGTTGGAACCCACCTGCATGCTCTCCATTGCTAGCTGGGTGACCCTGGGAAGATCCTTCGGCCTTTATGCTCCCTCTTCAACTGTCGAGAGGGGCAGGATAGTGAAGGGCTTGCTTGAAAGGGCAAGGCTGGCCAGGCTGGCCCTGTGCTGCCCCTCTCCTCTGTGGGCAGCATCTTGCAGGGCTCCTGTCGGCTCACTGCTTTGTTGCAGCTTCGCGATTCAAAGGGTGCACCTTTGTCAGAGCAGTGCCCCCCCCCAAGAACCCGTAGAATTCAGTTKTCCCTATTTTGCAGAGGAGAAAAGTGAGGCCCCACAAGAGAAGTCCCAGCATGGTGGGAGAAGGAGACAGAGTCCTTCCTTCACTCTTGGGCCAGGCACCTTTGCACACCTGAGGCCCATAACCTGCCCTGCACCCCGTCCTCCTCCCACAGTAGGTCACTCARAAGGACCCTGGCCCTCAGAGTCATTCACTGACCTCTGAGGTCACTCACTGACTGTCCCTCTAATGTTACAGAAGCCATATGCCTGTCAGATCCCCGGCTGCTCCAAGCGCTACACGGACCCCAGCTCCCTCCGCAAGCATGTGAAAGCCCACTCAGCCAAAGAGCAGCAGGTGCGGAAGAAGGTAAGGTGGCCTCTGAGCCAGCCCCACTCTGCAGATGCACTGCTTCTTACTGCCAGGCCAGCACCAGGCCAGGTACCCACACTGCCTGTGTGTGCTCACCATTGAGTKCCACTCCCCATCTGTCTGTCCATCTGCCTCCCACCTGAGCCAATAGGACTTCACCTGCCCAGGCTGCCCCCAACCCTCGCCCTGTTACCTTCTCCCTACGGCTCCTCAGTGAGCGTCTGACATCTGTCCTTGTGCTGGACACTGAGGATGCAAAACAAAAGGCACAGTCCCCAGGATGACTCAGTGCAGCATGATACAGATGACAGCAGGGTGTGAGAGTGGTCAGGGGCCTGGACAAGGGGGCCCCTGCCTGTCTGCATGGGAGCAGGAGGCCACAGGAGGCAGTGGTCAGGGGTGGACTCTGAAGCCACCTGCATGCTCCCTGCTGCTAGCTGGGTGACCCTGGGAAGGTCCTTCGGCCTTGGTGCTCCCTGTTCTTCAACTGTCGAGAGGGGCAGGACAGTGAAGGGCTTGCTTGAAAGGGCACCAGTGGGGACTGAAGAAGAGCACAGAGGACTGAGAGGGGGCACAGAAGCTTGGAAAGGAAGCTGGTGTGTGTGTCCTTCTTTCCAAGGCAAGAGTGAGCACAGGGATGGGAAAAAAAGTGCTCCCCAGAGTGACCAGCGCCCGATGGCTGTGGCATGTGTGGGGCCCTTGGGCACTTGTCTGGCCCGGGCTGGGCAGCATGGTAAGGAGGAGGGGAAGTGACCCAGGGTACCTACCGTAGGATCAAGGCTGTGCCCAGGAGACTGGGCTCTGTCCAGAGCACAGTTGAAGCAAGAGGCTCTTGAGAAGAGAAGGGACATATCACCTGAGAAACGCCTTTGGGCTGTGTATAAAATGAGCTGGGGGTGGAGGGAGGGAATTCCAAGGCCAGGAAGCCACTGCTGGGAGCAAGAGAAATGGTGGAAGTTGGTCTGRGGAGAGTGAGGAGGGGCTAGGCTRGGCAGTGGAGCAGTAGGTACCCAGGACAAGACTTGGGCAATGGCATGGGTGGAGATGCCCCTTCATCAAGAAAGAGAACCTAGGGTCCAGGTTTGCAGGAGGAAGTGAGCAGTGGGTTCTGTGTTGGACCAGGGAGGGGTGTGAGCTTCTGAGGAAGCCAGGCCAGGGCGGGAAAGCCGGGGTGGGAGGTGGCAGAGCCTCCTGGGCTGCCATAGTTAGTCTTGGTGAAGAGGATTGCAGAGACCACCCTATGACAGGAGGGTGAGGGGAAAGAGCTTATTAACTTGTTCAACTCAATAKAGGGAACCTGCATCGGGCTCCAAACACTGTCCCAGGAACCACAGATATAGCTGCCACTGAAACTRCCAAGGCCTTCTGGGTGCAGAGATGGCGTAGACAGGGTTGGGATGCTGGGGATGAGTGGGCTTCATGATGGGCAGGGATAGAGAGGCTCAGGATCTGGGGCTCTACCCTGTAGGCAATGGGGAACCATTGGAAGTGGTAGAATGGGAAGGAATAGACATAGTCAGAGAAGGGGCTGAACTTCAGGGCGGTTGCCTCCATGGCTCAGGCACTGTACCTACTGTCTCATATACTGCATCTCATTTAGTCCTCCTGTGACCCTAGAAGTGGACACTATTCCCATTTTAGAGATGGAAACTGAGGCTGAGAGGGAGTTAACAAACCAGCCCAGAATCTTACAGCCCAGAAGTAACAGGGCCAGGGTTCTATCCCAGACCTGTCTGTAGAACCTGAGTGCTCAGCACKACTTTCAAGTGGAAGTCTCTGAGCAGGAACAAGAAATGGCCCAGGTTTCAGCAGGCTGGGGCTCCCRGTCAGGAAGGCTCCTGTCCCAAGTGGACCAGTGCCCAAGGACAGGAATCCTGCCCTGGTTTTCCCAGGCTCCATACTTGGCTCCCCCTGAGCCCTTAGGGACTTAGGGCCGCAGATCTGCAAACTTCCCAACAATAAGCCTCCATTAGGAGCCACGGGATGATGAATCTTTCTGGGTAAAGCGACCCTTGTATTATGACAACTCCTTGGCAGCCCTGCTGCATTTCAGAGAGAATTAGAAATGCTTTTCTTCCTTAATTCTCCTCTCCCGCTGTTCCTAATCCCATCGACATTGCGGTCTGCAGGAACATGCCTTGGCCTCTTTTGCCAGAAACTTCATTTACATGGAAAACAGCTGCTGGGTCAGGGAGCTGGGAGCCCGCGTGCGTCGGGCCTGACRTGCCTCCCTCAGGCTGGTGTCGACCTTCAGCATGGGAGGGTGGACACATCCTTGGAGACTCGCTCTCAGCCCCTGCYGGGGACATGGGTCAAGGCTCTCCCCTGCTCTGGGACTGTTTTGTCCTGGGTCAAGGGAGTGTTCCGATAAGTCAGTCCACAGGCCTCGGGCTCTACAGCCCAGCTCAGGGTTCCATCCCATGCACATGCTGCCACTCATCATCCAGGGTCCCCAGGGTGCCCCCCCCCATCCCCATTCTGGCTCCTCTGGAGAGGTGGAGATGTTCCGAAATGACTGTCCTTGGGAACAGCCAAAGGCTGTTGGGCAGAGCTTGGCTTGGATTACCGGGTGCAGCCCAGTCCAGGCTTGCTTTTAGCCAGGTCCCTTCGTCCATATACCAATCCCTTATGTCTGCTGTCATGTGACCACATGGGGCCCAAGTAGCTGGAACCGAGCCAGCCCTGCACACCTGCTTCACAAAGCCTCCTTCACCRTACCCATCACCTCTGCTCCTGTGGCAGGTGGGGGCAGAGCATAGTCATTGCTGCAAATCACAAGCAGGGTAGGCGAGACCCGGAGAGTCTAGGTTACTTATCCAGTGTACGTAAGAAGTAAGAGGTGCAACTGGATCTGAACCCAGCTCTTCTGTGCCTAGCACTGGACCGTCCACTGCCTCTTGTACAGAGAAGAGGCATGGTGGGGCAGATGCCGCATGCCTGCCATGCTTTCCTCCCACTGCCTCAGTGCGCACACCGTGTTGTGCTGCTCACCTCCAGCTGACCTCAGAAGGCCGATGGCTGCTCCTGGCTGTCCATCTAGCTTTGTGCTGAGGCCATACCACATGGCTGCTCCCAGCCAGAGACTGCGTGCAGCCCTCAGGGATCAAAGGTCACAAGCAGCCCCCTCCCAAGAGATACAGGACCCCTAACTCCCAGTCAAGAAGGCTTCCCCCTCCTGCCCTGGATCAGTGGGTCAGGGGGCATTCCCAGCCCCCCTGACCATGCCCCCTTTCTGTCACATGTGCACTTGCCCTCAAAATCCTGGTGTATCGAATCCCATCTTGGCGACTGCTGCTTAAGGACTCAGGAATAACACAGTCCTCACATTGTACACCATCACCTCGCGTCACAGATGAGGAAACTGAGGTTCAGGGAGGAGAAGGGGCTTACCCTGGGCTGCCGACCTGCTTCTAAAACAAGGGGAGCTGGTGGACAGGCGGTCTGCCTCTAACGCCCCCTCTCTGCTTGCTCCCAAGCTGAACGCAGGCCCTAATGCCGAGGCCGATGTCCTGAGCGAGTGTCTGGCCCTGCACCAGCTTCACACGTCCACACAGCTGGCTGCCAGTGACGGGAAGGGCAGTCGAGCCCTGGGCCAGGAGCTGCTCCCGGGTAAGTGTGCAGGGAGGTGGGGCCGGGGGCTGAGCATTCCATAGAGCAGGGATGCTCCCTGGGCCCTGGGCCATAGGGCTGAGACCTGTCACAGGGCGCCCACTCCTCTGGACTTGATTGCCTGCTACCCACCCTCTGGCTCCYGACCTTCAACCCATCTTCTCCTCCAGCTCATTTCACTAGGCAGATGCCCCTCCATACCCTTCCATGGCTCCCACTGCCCATAGGGAAATACTGTGCTTCTCAGCCTGGCCTCACCAGGCCTGGGAGCTCTTGGAGTCCTCTTGTCTCAACCTTGGCACTTTGGATCCAATTCCCTGAATATTTTGCTCCTTTTAACTCCGAAGCTAGCCTCCCCTCCCCTTTCTTTACTAAGGGGGCTCCTGCTCTACCCATAGGACCCACCTCCTGCCCACTCCTCCAGGAAGCCTTCCTCTGGGTTGCCTGCTGCTCCAGTGCTGAGCACTCTGGGATGTCACTGTTTCCCGTCTGTCAACCTATCATACTGACTGTGAGCTCCTCTGGGGCAGACTAGGGTCCTCCTCACCACAGAGTCACCAGCACCCCAGGCTGGGGGTATATGCAGCACTGCCCCAAACATTGTGAAGAGAGGTTGTGGCCCTAGGTCTAAGATCCAGGAAGAACCACCCATTTTAGCCAAGCATGGAGGTGCACACTTGTATTCCCAGCAGTGATCAAGATTTCAAAGCCAGCCTCAGCAACATAGTGAGGCCCTAAGCAACTTGGCAAGACCCTGTCTCTAAATAAAATATAAAAAGGGCTGGAGATGTGGGCCAGAGGATAAATACTCCTGGGTTCAATCCCCAGTACTAAAACAACAACAACAACAACAACAAAAAAAAAACATTTTGCACTGGCCGTGGCCTGAAGGCCTGTTTCATTCCCAGCACAGCTCCTGCTTCAGAAGAGAAATCTAGGGCTGGGGTCGTAGCTCAGTGGTAGATCGCTCATCTAGCACGTGCGAGGCCCTGGGTTCGATCCTCAGCACCACATAAAAAAAAAATAACAAGTATTATATTCATCTACAATTTTAAAATATTTTAAAATCAAAGAAGAAGAAAAGAAATCCAAGGCTCCCAGAGGGTGGGCAAGTAGGCCAAAACCTACTACCAGCTCATCATTAAACTCTGGCCCAGAAATGGGGCTTCCTGAGCCCTGGACCCTGCAGGCCCACTGGGCCTGACACCCAAAGCCTCTGGTTTGGCCAAGGCAGCCTGGCTATCCTTCCAGCAGCTGCCGGCTATGGGGCAGGTTGCAGGCCACAGCAGGAATTCCTGGCCCTGTGGCTTGGGAATCCAGCCCAGATGAGGCAGCATGGTCTTTGGATTCCAGCTGATAGTTCCTGCACTCTGCCCCTGACTCTCCAAAGAAACCTCGGCATTCGAGAGAAAGCTGTGTCCACCCTCTGGGATTTCTTGAATTACTCTAAACCATTTGAAACATTTTTAAAAATTTTCTCATTATTCTTCCTCTCAACGTTGAAGTAGCAACAGATTTTAAGATATGTCAAAACCTTCCCCAAGATCCTTGGGGAAGCAGGTTTTCACCCTTTCTTCAGGTGGACACTCAGGGGAGGGCCCACTCCCTYCCCTCCAGCTAGGGCCCCTCTACCATGGCTGCTGCTCACAGGGTCAGAATTCCCAAATGGCAGGGCTGAAAGGACCACAAGCAGGACCAGCCCACGGATGAGGACACACGGGCCAGCACCCAACAGCCGGTTGGGACTGCTTGGAGCTCAAGTTGGGGATTCCTGGGCTATCCCAGACTCCATGGGAAAGGGCACTAATACCACCAACGGCTGTCCCAGGGTGAAGGTCCTGCAGCTCCAGCATTCCTACCTTGGGAGGATCTGGACTGGGCAGAAGGACTAACCAGGGCCATCCAGAAGAGAGTGGCRGGTCCAGATCCGAGGGCTATTTGTTTTCCCAGATGAGCGCAGAGCTGTCCTTGGGGAGAGGGCTGGGGGCAGCAGTCATCATCTCTGGGGCACCTGCTTGGGTTGGTCCCTTTACAACACCATCTCACTTGATSCCCAGCTGTCACCCAGGCCACAGATGAGCAACAAAGTCCACCAAAGGCAGTGTCACAGGGAGAAGGACCTTAGGCTAATGCCAGCCTGCTGGGACCTGCTGCTCTGGCCTGAGACGGCGAGGAAGTGATACTTTCCTCCCTGCTTTGTGCCTCAGTTTCCTTCCCAAACCTGCTGAGAACACGCACCAGGAGCGGCAGAGGGCCTGGGCCTGTGCATGTCAACTACAACCCTTGCCACTTGGAAGGCCCCAGCCTGCCTGCTGGGAAGTGACAGAGGCAGGGCTGAGCCAGGCCCTGCACCTGAGGCTGTGCTCTTACCTGAAAGTCTAGTGCCCTGCTGCCAACACTACCTCGATGCCATACTGAGCACCTACTGTACACTGCCCCTGTGCTGRTCCCTGACCTTCAGCTGTTTCCATCACATTGAGGACGGGGAAGGAACAGTCAGGCAAACCCAGGGGCCCTAGATTCCCAGATTCATCCTACAGGTTCTTCTGCAGGCCACATAGTAGATGGCTGAGGCACAGCTGGGAGCAGATGTTAGGGCCAGCAATTAGGCGTACCTGCCTGATGATTGACAGTGCCTCTCYACAACCTGATGAGGAGTGTTTGCAGGGAGGCTTCTTGGGTTCTCACTCTTGCTGATTATAGGAAGCTTCTGCAAGTAGGAGACCCTCAGGAGCTTATCTGGCAGGTCTTTCTTCAGACTCACAGTGCCATGATAGGGAGGATGTGGGTGAGAAGCATGAGGTCACATGGCTGGGGAGAGGGAGCAAGACTATTGGGACTCCAGGCCTTCCCAGCTGACAGGCCCCAAATTGGTTCAAGATGGTAGGCAAGGAGGGGCTTGTGGAGGGAGTGGCGAGGGAGAGCCCTGTGCCAGGCTCCCTCTAGAGATCCCCTCAGTGCCTTCCTGTGTCAGCTGGCAGTGATGTGGCCCTAGCAGGGAGGGCACCTGATAGATGGAGAGACAGGCAGTGCTGCCCATGAGAACAGAGATCCCAAGGTGGAGAGGCCTGTGGCTGAGAGCTGGAGGGTGCTCGGCACCACCACCCCCCCCGACCCCAGAGTCTTACAGCTAGCTGGAAGCCTGAGCCAGAGCGGTGGCCCCTAGCTGGACATCTAGCCTGAGACAAAGCCACTGCTATTTCCTGGGCCAGCCTCAATTGGACTTTCTTTCCATATGGCCTAGGAGGCAGGCCTGAGTAACTGCCCACCGTGTGGCTTTGGGCCAATCATGCATCTTGTTAAGATTACTTTCTTCATCTCAAAAATGGATCATATTATCTCCCCTGTCRACAGTTTGAAGATGATTAGGCCACCTATGTGGAGATTGAACTTGGCACACATACATTCATGAGCAGGGTGTGACTCTTGTCTCAGAGGAGACTTTCGCCCAGCTCAGCCCAGCCACAGGTGCCTGCCAGAGACAGACTGAGGTCTCCAGGCCAGCGCTACGTTGTCCAGCAGTTCCAACACAGACCTTAAGGGGGCGCATTCTCTCCGCTGGCTACAGTCTATTTCTTGCCTCCTGCAGTCCCTGCCAAGCCCAGTTCCCTGCAGCAGCCTCTGGAGTTGCAGGCCCAGGTCAGGAGATCCAGCCTGGGATGTGCTAGTCTTGGAATCGCAAATAACTGACAAGTAAACTGTACCCCATCCTTGAAGGAACCTGTCTTCTCAGATTGTTTCTTATTGCCCGATAAAGACCAATGGGTCTAGATACACCATGGCCAGAGTGACATTCAAGAGGTCACACCTGGCCATGAGAGGGGGCACTGACCAGGTGGAGTAGATGCTGCACTGGTGTAGCCCAGACCACAGCTGCTGGGGCCACCAAGTCCTCCCAAGGTTATCACCTTGATGCATTGATTTCAGGGAAGATGCCACTTTCTGTTCAAATAAAAACCTGGCTAGATTGAAGAGAGAAGGCAAAATTGGCCTCATTTTTTTTCCAGCTAGAATAGGGAGCATCAAAAACTTGGCAGTCCTTGCTGTGTGCCCCCTCGGGCTTCTATCCCAGAGGAAGGGTTCCTCAGTGAAGGCAGTTAGAGAATGCTGGCCTCAATAGTTCTAAAACTCTCAACTGGGCCTCTGGACCAATACCTGACTGATCTAATGTCCCCCATTGATTTATTAGCCCACCTTCTTAACAAGGGGGAGAGATGGTAAAAGGTGGGATCGCCCTGTAAGTGTCTTCTATAGGGACAGAATCTGAGGCTAGAACACAGCTGACTTCTCAGTTGGGACCCTTAGGCAGTGTACAGTCTAAACCACCACCCATGGCAGCTCCTCTCAGAGGTCTCCCAGGCCAGCTGGGGTGATCATCCTTTCTTCAGAACCTTTCACAGGCACTCCTCTGAGGACGGATAGCTCACTCTATCCAAAGGTACTCCATTACCCTGCAGCACCCTTGCCTATCAGAAGGGACCACCAAGCCCCGAGAACTGGTTCCTGCTTCTCTCAAAGTTCTTTTTGTTCCATGTCCCCATCAGGGGAAATTCAGAGCAATCCCTGCTTCTCCGGATGGCCCCAATAGAGGTCTGTGGTGGCCTGCTCCATACAAGCCCCTACCCCAACACACACACACACACACACACACACACACACACACGGTCTGAACACCCTGTGCTTCTCACAATCCCTTGCCAGCCCTCTTCTGCCATCAGAGTTGGCCCCAGCTGGACACAGCCTTTTGGCCAGGGCCTAAATCGAACAGAGTGGGGTCATCACCTTCCTTGTCTAGCACCTGTACTTCCTGTAATACAACCTTACTCATTTCCCTTCTTGTCATCTTCTCTATAAGTAGGCACGCGGTGCCTGGGCCATCCACAGCCATCTTTAGGGGTGGCCAAAGCCCAGTGATATTTGCTTGGTTCCCCGCAGGTGTGTATCCTGGCTCCGTTGCCCCTCATAATGGGCTTGTTCCAGGCATCCTGCCCCCCACGCATGATGTCCCTTCCAGGCACCACCCATTGGACGTCACCACCAGTTCACACCATCATCTGTCCCCTCTACCCACAGCTGACAGTACCAGGGATGGGTACGTACACCATACCAGTTYTCCTTAGGGGACATGAGTGGGCGGCAGGCACCCCGCGCTGCCTGGGCGTTCTGCGTGATGGGGTAGCTTGCATCTATGAAGCACTTACTGCATGCTCTGCTCTGTCTCACACTGTCTGGGCACCTTCATCCATGCCTCCCAGTGACCCTGTGAGGCAGATGGCATTGGTCCCTGACTTCTGGGGGCCCCAGGAAGATTCTGTGCCCCCACCTGTCTTCTGTCACCCCAGGCCTCCCTGGGAGCCTCTCCAGGCTTCTCTGCTCCTCGTGTTGGATGAGTGGACTCGACTTCCCGGGCCCCCTGCAGACATGCTGGCCTGGGCATCTCTGGCCACTGCAGCTGTGAGCACAGCCCGGCCTGAAGGTCACTGCAGAGGGAGTGGCTCTCCCAGCGTTCAATGTGRTTTTCACAGTGACCACTGATCACCTGGCAGTGTGTTCCTTGCTGACCCAGACACTGCTCAAGTCTGTTGGGCTTGTGCGGAGTACAGAGAGGCTGAGGCCCTGCCATTTTGTTTGCCATAGCAGTGACTTGATCTGATTTGTCACCCAAGGCCTGGSCCCAGCAGCACCTTCCTCCCCACGGCTGTAGCCTTCGCCTTGGCCAGCACGTGCCTGGGACCAGCCTGGCTTCATCACCCACTGACCTTAACTGGGCTCCTCCTCCCGTTCATCATCCATTCCTCTGTGTTCCGTTATTGAGTGCCACTGGATTGGCCCTGGGCCCAGTCTGGGACCACCAATCACGATGAGTGGGAGGAGGAGCAGGGGGAGGACAGGCCTGCAGAGATTGGCCATACAGGGCAGGTGCACCAAGGGAGGAAGCCCCCAGGGGAATCCAGTGGGCTGGGGCTGGGGGAGAGCATCAGGGAAGGCTGCCTGGAGGAGGCAGTGCTAAGCCAGGCTTCCAGGTAGAAGGCAGAGTCGTGTGGTGGACAGGTGGCAGAGGAGGAAGAGCATGGCATGCTGCCATTGTGTGGGGTGCCAAGTGTGGGGAGAGGTCACCAGGGCCAGGCCATGAGGCCCGTAATGGGGCTGTGTCCTGAAAGGTGTTGAGCAGTGATATGGTCAGGTTTGGGAGGAGAACGTGCCTTGCCCACAGCAGGAGGCTGGACCGTGGTGGGATGGGATGCAGCATGGCGCCTGAGCCGGGCTGATCTGGACAGGGGAAGGGACACCAGAAGGCAACAGTGCACAGGACAGCAGAAGTCAGAGGAGTCCAGAGTAGGCAGAGCAGACCACAGAGCGTCAGGATCTGCGGGAGATTGTGGTGGAGCACGAGCAAACAGCCACGAAGAGGCAGCCTGTTGGGGTACAAAGGGCGACCCAGAAAACGGAGCCCTCCCTGAGCCTCAGTGTCTTCCTCTAGAAACCTTCCTGTAGGAATACGGTGACGGTCAGCTGCACATGCCTGATGTTTTACGTGTCACCTGGTATAGGTACCTTTGACAGGAACCCCCTGCCCCCCGCCAGCTTAGGCCACCTGCTCACCCTCCAGCTGGCCCCAAACATCTTCAGCCCCATGGCTCAGGCCAGTGCCCTCTGTTCTGCCTCATTCTCACCTGCCTGCCACCGCGTGGGTGMGGTCAAAAATCTCTGCAGCCAGAGGCAGGGTGGTGAGAGACCAGATTCTGTCTGCCTGCAGAACGGCCAGGAGTCACCCCCCAGCCAGGTGCCCCGGCTCTCAGTTTAGCATGGCGGGAGGGCCCTGTGCCCCTCGCCAGCCCCAGGCTCGGCCTGAATGGGTTCCTTTTTCATCCCCTGAGAAGAGAGTGGGGGAAGGGACTCAGCCTCCCTTTCCTGCCAAAGTCAACAGGGAACGGCCACTCAAGGCTCCCCAATGGTTTGCTGGGACGTTTAAATAGCTTGACAGAATTATCTGATTCACTCAAAAATATGCTAAGAGGGCCTGACTTCATGACCAAATGTATTTACCCTGGCTCAGAGAAGACGCCAAATAGGGTGGGTTTTTCCTGGTCCTGGGCGAGGTATGAGCCCTTGCTCTGCCAGGCCAGCCAGAGTTCATGTTCGGGTCCCTAGGTTCCAACCGAAGCCAAGCATCTGATGGTGGATGCATTGGCATGACTCAGAAGGGGGCTCCAGGTGACCTCTTCTCCTTCGGGAGTTCAGGTGGAGTGGCTTAGCCTCTGCCCACATGTCTACTGCGGGTGGAGTGGGGCTTTGTCTGACTTCACTGACTGTGAAGGTGGCAAATGTGCGCTTGGCAGGTCGCACAGGAAAACAAACCTGGAGAAGGCCGGAGCTTGCCCGCTGGAGCTGGCCACTCTTGGGCAGTGCTGTTCACCTCGATCTAGAAACCTGTTTGCCAGTTATCAGTTGTTTGCCATGTGAGACCCTGTTCTGGACAGTGAGGACCCAGAGGGCAGAGAGCTGGGMCTCTCCACAGGCACTGCCAGGACAGAGCTGGGCCACAAGTGCCCGTATGGGATGCAGACCACACAACAACCACAGGATAGCTGGAGGATGGAGGATGCTCTCGGGGCTGACCTGCCTCTGCCTGTCCCTGCCCTGCCTTCAGTGATGGACCCCAGATGCATGATGGCAGCACAATGGAGGGGCAGGGACAGTAGGATTCCCAGCTGGAGGGAGCAGAAGGTGACCAAGCACAGCTTCAGACAAGGAGCTCCATCCCCAGCCTCTCTCCATATCACAGTCCTACTTTCCTTGGAGGGCAGATCTGTCCCAATAAAACCTCATATCGCAGAGAATGCGTGAGGGTAACAAGGTCACCTGGAGCCGTGACACTGAGTTTGCAGTCTACCTTAATGTAGGTGTCCAACGAACCCAAACAAGAAAATGGAGACTGAGTTCCACTTTCTCCCCGCATGTGGCTGTAAGCCAGGGGCTCCCGTGGCCGTGCCTCTGCCCCCTGAGCCTCCTGCTGACGTCCCTCCTCTCTGTGCTCTACAGGTTGGGGCCCAGCCTCCTCTCACCCATGGTCAGCCCTCTAAAGGGGCTTGGCCCACCACCGCTGCCACCGTCCTCCCAGAGCCAGTCTCCGGGTGGCCAGCCCTTCTCCACGCTTCCCAGCAAGCCGTCCTACCCACCCTTCCAGAGCCCTCCGCCCCCGCCCCTGCCCAGCCCACAAGGTAAGCCCTGGCCCGGCCCTCCGCACCCACGCCCATTCCTGGGGGACCCAAGAGCAGTGACACACTGTCCCGGGGAAGCCGATGGGCACTTCAGGAACGACAGGCCAGCCACTGAGGTCCATGCTGGGCAGAGCTGAAAGATGGGTGACCTAGAATGCCCAGTCAGGGTACTTCCTGGAGGAAACTGGTTCTGAAAGTGAGGAGTGTGCTTTGTCCCCCAGCAAGGAAGGGCTTTTCCAGAAAGAGAACAGCATGACAGTGCTGGGAGGTGGGCGAGGCCTGGGTGCCATTGGAGGACAAATGACTCCTGCACAGACACCCCACCTCCCTACCCCACAGGGCAGAGCTGGGAACAGCCTGCCCCCTTCCCTGCCCCATACCCCCTTCTCTCCCTTACACCACGATGCTCAGAGAGGACAGCATGCGACCGGCCCTCCCGGCCTGACCTTGTCCCTTTGTTAATGCAGCCCTGCCACATCCCTCCACAGGCTACCAGGGCAGTTTCCACTCCATCCAAAATTGCTTCCCCTATGGCGACTGCTACCGGACCACAGAGCCTGCAGCTAGTGGGGACGGACTGGCCGGCGAGGCCCACGGTTTTAACCCCCTGCGGCCCAATGGCTACCCCAGCCTCAGTGCGCCTTTACCTGCCTCAGGTGAGCCTTGCTTTCRAGCCTTCCTCCCCTGAGCACCCACCAAGGCTCAGCTTTAGGCACATTGTCCTGGGACAGTCCTGTGCAACAAGGTCATCCCCACTTATGACTCAGAGCCTCCCCACAGGGAGGTAGACCCGGGCCCTGCAGAACTGGGCTTTGCACTGCATGACTGGAGAGGTCAGTGTTCCTTCCAGAAACTCCCAGCTTACGTGTGTCTAGACTCAGGGGTTTCTGAAGACACAGAGAAGAATTAGACTCTTGGCCTAACCAATGCTTTATATTGATTGAGTACCTACTGTGTGCCTGGTACAGCTGTGGACCCTGCAAGTAGAGCTGGGAATGAGACGAACACTGATTCCCATTTAGCAGGCACAGAAACCTGGGCTTGTGCTCGTTCTCAGGCTGCTTCTGACTTTCCTGCAGAGCCCTGGGATCCAGGAGTGGGAGGGCCCACCTCCCCATCCCTGGCTTGTGTGGAGAAGCCAGTGAGAGGGGAGGGCTCCAGGTGGCCCACTGTGGACTCAGGCCCAGAGCAGCAAGACAGGCCTGGTCGGGGTGGGAGATTCAGCTAGGTGGAGTGGAACCTCCCTGAAGCCCCAGGTGCAGATCTAACTGGAGGCTCCGACACAGGGGAAGCTGAGAGCCTGCCTCAGAGGGTTATTGGGCAGTCCCGAGTGCCTACAGCCAGGAGTAGAGGGACAAGGACATAGAAACAAGCACCACGGCCACATCTGTGCATGGGTCCACCTGTGCATGCTGACACAGCTGCTCCTGTGTCTGTAGTCTTCCTATGTTGTGGGGCTGCRTGGGCATGTGTGGTGTGCATGTGTGTGTTGGGCTCTCAAGGGAGGTTCTTGGTATAAGGAGCTCCCGGGACATGCACCTTCCTGTCTGTCATGTGTCCACAGGTTCTGCTGTGCCCATGGCCATGTACCAGTCAGCATGCATGTTACCCACCCCATGACTCACATCTGTGTCCACAGGCTTGGGTGTACATGTGAGTGCATCAGCATGTTTGAGCTGGTTTGGATGCGTGTGCYTGTGTCTGAGTACAGCGTAGGTAGACCTGTAGGTGGATGCCCACCTTGYACAGACCTGTGTGGCATGTGCTTTGCAGGGGGCTACATGTTCTGTGTTTGTGGGCATGTGGATTGGTGTGTGATCAGGCACCAGCACTGTGCCCAGCACTGCTGGCCCTCACCATCCTGACCTCCTTGCCCTGTCCAGCTGGACCAGGACCCCAGGCCTGAAGTCAGCAGCTCTGAGGGAAACAGGAGCAGCCAGGTGGGGGGTCTTTGGACCTCCCCTCCTCCCAGCACCCATCCCAGGCCCTGCTCAGTGCCTTAACTGCCAGCTGCCTGACCACTCTGTCAGGACAACAATGGATTCAGTCTGAACAAGCTGGAGGGACCGTATGGCCTCCGAATAGTTCAGCCTGAGCCCATTTAGAGATGGGAAGACTGAGGTTCACTTGTAGGCCACACAAATTTGTGACAGCAGCTCTGAGGCAGGGCCCTTAGGGAGGAACTGCATAAGATGACCCTTCCAAGTCCAGGGCTTCTGAGTACTAAACACCCCACCCGCAAAGACAACATGACCAGTGGAAGGGCCAGGAGTCTCTGGAGCCAGATGGACCTGGATTCGAGTCCCAGTTTCCCCATTTACTAGAAGGTGACTTTAGACAAATGTCTTACCTGCTCTGAGCCCATCTCCTCAGCTACAGAATGGAACAGCAAATCCCCCCTAGTGGGGTTGCTGTGAAGTTTAAGTGAGATGATGTTTAATCAGCAGTTAGAGCCTAATAAATATGGTTCCATTTTGGGGGCTTCTTCAGTCTGGTAGGAAGGAAACTTAAAGGGAAGAGGTGAGCCAAGCCCTGCCAGGAGGGGACCACCCTGGGGTTAGATCATTGGTCCTCACACCACCAACTGTCCTCCCTCCCGACTTRTGCTCCATGGCACAGCACTGGGGGATGGGCCACCGCAAGCCAGCCGGGCTTGTCTCCCCAGCTGCCTGGGCTCCCTGGGTATGCAAGGCTAGGATGCCCCCCAGCCCCTCCCCAGGTGCCCGCTGCCCCACCTGGCTGCGCTCCACGGGGAGACCTGCAAGGAGGGCTGCTGAGCAGGCTGGTGGGGCTGGAGCTGGTCACACGACAGGGCACAGCTTCTGCCAGCCTCCAGCTCTGACCCTCTGCTGCCCGCCCTCAGGCTATGAGGCCCTGGCCGAGGCCCCGTGCCCCACAGCGCTGCCACTGCAGCCATCTGAAGACGTGGTGCCCAGCGGCCCCGAGGACTGTGGCTTCTTCCCCAATGGGGCCTTCGACCACTGCCTGAGTCACATCCCTTCCATCTACACGGACACCTGAGGAAGGCCCCGCCCACCATTCTGCAGATGCTGCTGCTTCCGCCTGCCGTGGTCTGCCACCCTCCCTGCCCCAGGACAGAGCAGCCAGGTGCCCACGCAGGTGCTGGGTGCTACGGCAGCCATCCAGCACCCCCCATGGGGGTGCTGTCTGGGCTCAGAGGTGCCCACCGGGGGTCATAGCCCTGTGTCAGTCCCTTGATTGTGTCTTCCTGTTTCTCCTACGGTTTTGAAATCACAGACCTCGTGTATATAAAGTGTACAGACTTATTTCCCATTCCCATGCCAGTTTTATATTTTTGGTTTTACAAGAAAAACATTAAAAACTGGAAACAAGACTTGGGGCCTGATTCTGTGCTGTAATTCAGCTTAGAAGTCCTGACCAGGAGAACCTGAAGGGAGTATGGAACAGAGAGCTGGGTGCAAACCACTTCGGGCCTGGGCAGCTGTGGGGCTGGGAGCCAGTGTCAGCTGTCCCCTATCACATCATCCCAGGACAACACTGCCAGGCAGGCTTATTTCCAGAAACAGGTGAGCAAACAGACCAGGAGGGGTTCAGTGACCAGCCTGGCTCCAGCTCTGTCCTACCCAGCCCCCKGCTGGCAGTGCCACTCAGCTGGTGGGACAGCAGGCCGTTTTGCTGCCTGCCTCTGGGAATGGAGGGCAGGAAGAGTCCCCCAGGAGAGAGCCCAGCAGCTTCAGAAGGTAAGGGACAAGGGCAAGTCCCTGTAGACCAGCAAGGTACAGAAAGCATCCTTTGCCCAGCGAGCCCGCACCTAGCCTCGGTGGCTAAGGCCAGAGAGGAGACCAGTCCCTGGGCTGCAAGGCTAGTCTGGCTCTGCCCCCTGGCCCTGCCAGGCTCTCTCCAGCACCCAGCAGAGAGAGCAAACCCACTGTCCATGCCTGTGCAGGTGACCTGAACAGTGACCCACATTTCACCATGTCACCTTGAAGGTCACCTGGTTAAAAAATAGGAAAATTCTTGCCTCACCTCCATTGAAGAAACAAAGCAAGGGAAGTCATATAGCCTGTGTGCCAGGCTCTCTCCCTGCCCCTGGAAACAGCCTGGGGAGGGTCTTCTTGCCCCTCTAGCTGAGAAGTGGCAGGCAGGACTAACCCCAGGCCAGGGGACCCTGCTTTGTGTACTGCACAGCTGGCTTACGTAGGCAAAGGGCAGTGGGAAGATCTCGTCAGCCCCCTGTTCATAGGGGAAGCCGAGGCTCACAGAGGACACCCAGTGAAGCAGTGACTGACTGGGCTGTCTGCCTAGCCCCTGCATCATCTGGGGACACCTTGGTCACACCAACTCTGGGCATCTTCCCAGGAGGACCGAGCAGACCTCTGTGCTGGGTGTCCGGTCCCTCTGGCAGCTGCACTCAAGCTGCTTCCCCAGGACCAACCTGGAGCCCTGGGTGGGAGACAGGGATGCCTGGCAGCCGTGTCCCACTGAAGGTCTTGGCTGCAGTGAAGTGGCCTCTCCCCTGGCCCCCTCTCCAGGCTGGGTGGTGCTCCCTGTCCCTCTAGCATGGGCTTGCTCCCACTGTGAGGAAGCCAAGTGCTATGGTCTCTCTTGCCACCCTGCCACCCACTCCTGGGTGGCAGCCCCTTCCTCCAGCTCTCCTCACGACCCAGTCTGAGCACCAGCTGTTACTTGCCAGACCATGACTGATACTTGCCCCCATTTTACAGATACAAGGACTGAGGGATGGTGAAGTTGAGTCACCCATCCATGGGACATAGCCAGCCGGGAGTGGAGCTGAGACTCAGAGTCAGGCCTTGGGCTCCTTCCCTGGCTCCCACCTCCCCTCTCAGCCATGGCTTCCCTGCCTGGGCCCAGTCCAAGCCCCCAGGGCAGGGGGCTGACCCAACTTCACACAGCATAGCGGGCTCCCAACTCCCACCCAGGATCCCTCACCCCCACATCCCATCCCCCACAGATTTTATGGAACTAATTAGGCCTAGGCAAAATTTCCTTCACAGAGATGCTCAGGAATCAATGCTGCATGTCATTGTCAGTACTTAATCCACTCCAGATAAGCAGAATTAAGCTGTACAATGAGAACATATTTCTATTAATAATGGAAAGGGCTGAGCCCCAAGCGGAACACACAGGGAGCTGGCAGTTGGATCCCATTTAATTTCCGAGGGGACAGTGGGAGGAAAGGAGACAAAGGCAGAGAAACAAAGAGGAGGCGGACGAGCCGGCCAGAGCCCTGCACACAGTAGGGCTCGTGGGGTCGCAGCCAGCCTGGCGGCTGAGTGTCAGTGTGATTCCCTCCTGGGGACTGTCCCCATGCCTGTTGGCACACTCATGCTGACACAAGTAGTGCATCCTCTGCATTGAGGTGACGCCAGGGTAGGGCCCTGGAACCTGTCCTTCCTTCATCACCCGGGCTCTTTGTCCCTCGATTACAATGAGCCAGGGCCGCAGCCCCTAGCTTCAGGCCATGGGAGCCTTGCCCACCACCAGGGGCATGGCAGTCACTCACCTAATTGGCAGGGGGTGTAACTGTCACTGTTACACAGGGTTGGGGAAGGCTTACATGGAGGGAGTTGGTGTTTCTCACTGTGCCTGAAGAGCCCCTGGGACATGGATGACAGGCGTGGCCTGGTGGACTCTCCAGTGCAGTGAGTGACTCTGCTCCAAGGACCCAGAGTCCAGGGCGCAGGGACAGTGCCCAGGCCTGCCAGGTGACCATGCTGCTCTTCCAGCCTGGCCACTCCACACCTGCAGACCCAGCCCCTCTCTAGTCCAGACCAAGATTGCCCCGCACAGCCTCCATGTCCTCCTTCAGGGGCCCCCGTCTCTTCCTGCTCTTGTTCCCTTCATCCTCCAGTTCCCCTGTGCCACCCTTGTTCTGCCTCAGCCCTGTGTCCCCTCCTGTTTCTCTCCTCTCCTCCATGGTCTTTCTCCAGACGCAACTGTGCATGTGAAAATCCTCTACTCCCTGCCAGGTGCCTCAAGGTCAGGACAGCTTTCTTCTCTCCTCAATCCCTCTGATCTGTGGCCCAGAGAAGCACAGTGGCCTGCCCCAGGGACTCGGAGCCCTGGTGGCTGGGGAGGAGGGGATCATAAGAAGAATCCCAGGAAAAAGCCCTTTGGGATGGGCCCTTCATTCAACCTAGACTCCACCTGCCAGGGGTCTCGGGTTAGTGCTGGGCATGAGGACCTTCTCTCTGACCCTGTGGCCAGGCCCAGGATGCCCTCTATGCTGTGCACAAGGATTCCCCACACCTGGTCCTGCCCTCCAGGACCTCACCAGGCTCCTTCCATGTTCTCAGAGCATSAGGCTGAGAAGGCCACTGAGGCCCACAGTGCCCTTCCCTGTGTCACACATGGGAAGATAGAGTCCTCTGAGAAACCTCCCAGGCCCTCCCCAGGCCCGCAGCTCTAGCTCCAGCTGGGTGTGAGGAAGTCAAGCGGGATTCGTCGGGGGACAGGCAGGCTTGTACCTTGGACGCCTGCTCCACTGGACAGGGACTGAGCTGGTGAAGCAGCCACTAGAACACAGGCCCTGGAGGGCAGCCCCACCCTGTCCTTTCCACTGCCAAATGTAGGCTCCCAGGGCAGCCCCTGGTCACAGCAGCTGCTGGGTACCTGCTTGTCAAATCTATCCACGAGCAAGAGAAAGAAGCAGGGCAACCGACCTGCCTCCACAGAGCCTCACGCACAGTAGGGCCACAACAAATCTCTGTGAGCTCGGTTTCCCCCTCTAAGTGAGGACACAGGCACAGATTGGCCTTAGAGCAGGTGGGACTAGCAGTGAAGACCCCAGGCCCCTGGGCCCCGCCCACACTCTAACCACCTATCCTCTTAGTGCACCCCAAACACTAATGCAGCCAGCACAAGCCTATCGTGAGGGCCTCTGGGGTTCTTCTGGTGGCAGCCAGCACTTTCTGGCTCCTAAAGAATGTAGAGTCACCCATTTGGCAAGGTTGTGTTGTGACCCATTTTGCAGAGGAAAGAACTGAGGCTCAGAGAGGTAACTCATCCGGACAGAGCTGGAATTCTGAGACATCTCCACCCAGCCCACCTGGCCCTGCTGGTCTGCAATGACAGACCAGGACTTGGGCCCCCGGGAGCTGCCTGAGGATTTCTGGCAATGTACCCCTCTTGCCCATCCAGAGGGGCCCATTATGCTTTTATAAGTCCTGATTTATATACTTGCCTGGGCCATCAGCCCTGCCAGGGATTTATAGGTTTCTAAGTGGTCAGGTCTCTGGGGAAAATACAAATAGAAGTGAATTGGGAAGGACTTGCCAGCCCCGCGGCTGAAGAACTGAAGCCTCGACTTACTCCCAGGGGCCCTGGGCCTGCAGGACAGCCGTTATGGTGATGGACTTGGATGCGGGGGCGCTATTTTTAGGGCAGTTGAGGTTCAACGTGATGGAGGGTTGAGGGCATAGGGGGATGAAAGTGAGCTTCATTGGAGTCAAAAATGCAGACACTGGAGGATGAGCCCATCATGAGAGCCTCTGGGGTTCCTCTGGTGACATTCTCTACTCTGGTGTGTGCGTGAAATTTTCCAGAAAAGGATTTAAGCAGTCTGGCGTGGCCAGGCTGGGATTTTCCTACATAGCTGGCAGCTTGGTCAAGTACGGAAGCCCAGTGTGGCTCACCCAGGCCGAGGCTTTATTAGGAAAGATGAACCTGGGCTCCAGACTCTCCCCTATGTGACTCTCTTGTCATAGCAGAGACCTGCCTCCCAGGCGTCCAATATATGGCCTGACACACAGTTGGGGTTTCATAAGTGCTTTTTGAAGATAATTTGTCAGTGATAAATAAGAATACAGCAGAACTAGAGCCAGGGCAAGGAGAGGTCTCTTCCTGAGGGTGCTGGCTACGCCTGGGAGTACAGGAGACCGGATCTTTGATCCCAACCACAAGGTTCTGCAGGGTCCCTTGGAGAAAGGGAGAGAGACTGTGCTACGAGACTCCCGAGTGGGTTGAGGTTGGGGCAGGGGGTGGACAATGCCTAGATTTATGAAAGCAGAGCCTCTAACATAAAATGAACTGCTATGGGATGAAAGCAAGCTCTCTGTCCCTGGGGGTGTGCAAACAGGAGTGGGCAGAAAACTACAAAGCAGTCCTGTCACTCAGTCAAGGGCTCGATGGCCCAACGGGGACTCTGTGACAACAGCTCTCTCATATCTTCTCAGGCCTCAGTGGGTGTCCACCCCAGTACTGTTCCCAAGGCTGGACATAGGACAGGGATGTCTAGTGATTAACTGTGTAACTGCAGGGAAAGCAGGAGGGCAAGGCTGGGGT